TGTTTTGTTTCAAAAATATTAAATATTCTATTAGTTTCAGAAGAGATATTTAACATTTTCAATGTTTTTCTGCATTGGTAGCTGAATCTCTTTATTTATATTAGAAAATAATTTTGGTCCCACAAAAGTTTCAGGTTTTTTTCAACTCTTTTACATGTCAGAAAATATCTTCCAATTATTTAGGTCTGGGGACATTCCAGTGTATACAAGCACATTAATGACCACAAAAATCCCCATTTGCTCAGTAGGCTGTAAAGCACATCCATGGAACCCTTGGAGCGGTTTGAAGGGAAAACATGCGAGTTGCATTATATGAAGTTTGAGTGGGGTTTTCCATTTACATTCTTCCTTCTAACCCTCTCTCTCACATCCTTCATTTTTATTTTAATATTTCTCTTTACTACAACCATAACAAAGTCATTATCTGAGTAATATCCAGTAGGTGAAAAAACAGTGAAAAAGGCTTGTTTTCGCAAAGGTGTTTTTTTCCCCAGCTGTTTATTGCCTTCCTCTTTCATAAAGTATACTTCATTTTAAATATTTTACCTATTTCAAAATAGCTCATTTGCAGACTACTTATCTTTCAATTTGGATCTTTCAATGAAAGAGTGCAACAGGTATTTCACACCTGCACTACTTTATGTTTAAATATTCAGATAGTGAGTGTCTGGATACTGTTCTACCTGCGGGAGCTGTACAGGGATGCTAAAGATCTTTTCATAACTTAGAGCAAGCAGATGCAGTTCATACATTATTAATGTGGTTTTGGCAATTTTTACAAATAATTACCATTCTGTGATTCTATGTTATAATGCTATGATGACTTACACAAAAATCTAACTAAACTGTAGTCCACTGATTCCCAGTTAGTAGCTACTGTAGAGCACAAATGTACTCAGTGGTCCACCTGGATCTGCCCCATCATGTAAGGACAGCAGCATGCCTCATTACTGCATTTGGCACTGAAGACACAGTCCAGTTCTTTAAAGAACAAAGATTTTCCAAGCCTCGTTTCTTGATGAGGTACAAAGACCCTTCTGACTCAACTGATCCCAAAATATTCTTCACCTATGACTGGAGGTTGGACAATGTAAGTACTGGACAAGAACTTGGCATGTTAAAAATTTACCCTTCTTTTGCCTTTCTTTTCAAAATTGATCATGCCCATGGTGTTCAAAAGATGGACGTGACTGATCTTGGAAACATGCAAATAGAGCTGGCAAGAGTAACGCCAGGAATGGAGTGGGAATGGAAGGCTTGCTATGGGTAGGTAAAGGGCTTATTTCTTAGAAAAAACTGTGAGGTATTGTCTGTTCCCTTGACCAAAGTTTAGGGAGTCAAACACAGACTGTGGTGCTTCTGAATTGCAATATAATTATTAACTCAGCATATATGTATACAGGTCTATTGTCTCATCCATACAGCCCCATTTAAAAGTATCTATCATATACTAAAGATATTTGCTGCTTCCCATCCAAGTCTTGTGGGAACTACACAATGTCACAGAGAAGAGAAACAATGGGTATGCATTTACCTGCTCTTGACAAGTCTTTGAGTAAGAGCTCAGAATATTTAATACACACTACAGGGTGTGCTGTCTCCACTATTAACTTATGCAGCATCTGTGTCAGATTTATGGATTTTTACCAGGAAAGCTGGAGCCTCCCATTAGCATCACCTCATGATACATGACCTATTATTGTTAAATGGAGCTCAAAACTACCAATTCCAGGTGGTATTGCATTAACAACTTCTTTCTTTAAACAGCACCAGCCCACACAGTCAGCTCTCACCCAAGCTGCAGCAGAATCAGCTGATTAGTGTGGGCAAGATTCCATAGTAAAGAGGGATGCTATTTTTTATGTATATATTTGTGGGATTAATGCTATCATGTGCTGTGCTTGTGACTCCAGAAAACCAGCAATTAAAAATGTTCAATAACTGGACAGATGATTTCAGTTCACTCAGTTCATCTTACAACAGGCAAATTAGTCATGCAGTTCCCTTTTGGGAAACCAAAACAAAACAAACCCCACACAAAACCCCACAAACAAACAAACAGAAAAATAAAAGAAAAAGAATGTAAGACCTTGTGGAACTGACAAATGTGTTTGCCCTTCCGCAGAATATGGTTTCATCTTCTTGACCCTTTAATCCTCTCACCCATTGCAAATAAACCCCAAGTACTTTTTTGGTTAAAGCATTATCTTTCCTCTTCCCTTCCCCCATGTCCCTCACTGTTCTGGGTCTCATTCTGTTTGCACTGGCTGCCTTTGGCTTCTCCAATTCCCTGTGCACATTATTGAGTTGCCAGGGGAACCTTCAGGTAACCCATGTGTGTTTCTTTTCCATGTTGCTGTTCCAGTTGAAGAAACCATATATGCCTGTACCTTTATCCCACTGTCAATCAGAAACACCATTATCTACAAGGTAAATTAGCAGGCTTGTCACAGCTGAGGAAAAATAGGACAGGACAGAATTGCTCCAGGCTTGCTCCTTCAATCACGTTTAAGAGCCTGTCTTTTACAGCATTTTAGTATTAATTTGGGAGTATTCTGTTTGTCCATCACTGGGCCACTGGGATAAGCCACCTAATTGGTCTGGCTTGCATGGAGATAAGCTCTGTCTTGTTTCCAGCTTTGAGTACCTTTGTCTTTCTGTACATCATACCTGAAGAAATGTTGCTACAAGTCTGATGTCTGAGTGTAGTTAGCTCAGAACCATGTTACCTACTGGTATCTTTGAGAACATCTTCCAGAATTTTCTGTATTGAAAGCACTTTTCTATATTGAAAGTCCTTTAAAATTGATAAGAATATCTATATAAAAGGCCCTCCTTGAAGCTCCCTAATGGATCATCCCACCCCAAAACCAGAAACACACACATATACATAGCATAGTGAGCATACTCACCCAGAAGATAGTTAGGAACAGAGTTTAATAAGACAGTCTAGCTTGCAGTGATCAGGTTTGGTCAGACAAACATACTGACCAACAATCATCTTAGGTACACTGGAGTGTCCTTTTTGTCTCCCAGTCTTCCCATGTTTGTTTCTCTCTTTCCCTACCTTTGACCTCTTACCTAAATGTCTGGTAGTATTTTTTTTCACATTCCCACAATACACTTAGACTAGCCCTTAAATTTTACACAATCCCACAATCCCTCTCATACAACCCATCCATAAGTTTGTTCTTATGAGACTCTTATGAGACCTGCAATAATCTTTTTCTTTTCATCCATTTTCAAAGTTTTTCTTTGAACCTTCTAAGGTTTATGCTTTGATGGCTCTTTTAATGGCCCACTGATAGTGTCTTACAATTTCTACTTTTAATCTTTTTATTATCTGCTCATTCTTATAGTCCATGTATCTTTATGTTTAACTTCATCTCACCTGTGTCATCTTTGTTTTATACACAGCTGATACCATGATATGCTTACAGTACCCAGCATGAGGTATCTATGCCAGAGTACACAAAGCCAGAAGAGCAATGTTCAGAAAGGCTAACCAGAGCAATCTTTCAGTCAGTAGTGACTCACATAAGGAAATTATCCTAAACCTGCTTTTAAAAAACAATGTTATGATGATGTTTCAAAAACACAGTGTTATGCTCTGACTGCCAGGCTCTGACCCACTTCATTTTGAATTGCAGATGAATGGGATGCTGGTTCCAGACCAATCATGTCTTTGCCTGCTTGCTTTACACCCACCTGTCTGGCAGGAGTGAAAGCTGCTTGATACCAGTAAGAGAAGGAAACTCACAGTATTGCTGCTCATGCCAGGGAGAAGAGACCAGCACCTTTCTCACCACTTTCCCTCCTCAGTGAGGAGGTTCAGCAGTGAGGTTCTCCCTCAGACTCCTTCAAACCAGACAAACCCAGAGTCCTCTGGCTCCTCCTCACAGGACATGCCTTCCAGCCCTTCCACCAGCTTTGTTGCTCTGGACACATTACAGGACCTTCACATCCTTCTTAAATCATTGGGCCCCGGGCTGGTGCTGGCTGCGATACAGTTTATTTTCTTCATAGTAGCTAGTACGGGACAATGTTTTGATTTGTGCTGAAAACAGTGTTGATAACATGGGGATGTTTTAGTCATTGCTGAGCAGCGCTTACACAGTGTTGAGGCCTTTTCTGCTTCTCACCCCACCCACCAGTGAGCAGGCTCGAAGTGTCAAGAAGTTGGGAGGGTACACAGCTGGGACAGCTGACCCCAACTGATTTCCATACTGTATGAAGTCATGCTCTGCAACATAAAGCTGGGGAGAAGAAGAAGCAAGTGGCAGACATTCAGAATTAGGATGTTTTCCCAAGCAACCGTTATGCATGATGGATCCCTTGCTTCCCTGAAGATGGATGAACACCTGCCTGTGATGGGAATTAGTGAACCAATTCCTTGCTTTGCTTTGCTTCATTGCACAGCTTTTGCTTTACCTGTTAAACTATCTTTGCCTCAACCCATCAGTTTTTTTACTTTCGCATCTCCAGTTCTCTCTTCCACCCCACTGGAGGGGAGGGAACACGCAACTGTGAGTATCTTAGTGGCCAGCTGGGGTTAAACCGCACAAAACTGCACACATCAGTCAAGGTGAGGCTGCACCAATGCTGAAACAGCAGGTTGATCACTTCTTTTGGCTGGCTGGTTCTACTGTGTTTTGATGCACCCCAGGATGCAGTTTGCCCTCTTGGCTGCCAGGGCACGCTGCTGACTCCCTATTGATCCTGCTGTCAACCAGCAAATCAGGCTGGGGGATGAGGTTTTTCCTGGCCAATTACATCTCCCATCAGCAAAAAAACTAAATCTGGCATTTTCAAATGATGCTACAAGCTAGGATATTTCCTCCAACAATGATTCACAGCACAGTGCCCACACAGCTACTGTCTCCTGCTCTATGAAAGCATTAGTCATGTGGGAATTAAAAACCGGGAAAGCCTACAGCTTGTCTTCTCTAGACTAACCTATTCTAGTTGCTCTGCATGTTAAGCACCCTTTTTCCTTCCTGAAACAGGCTGGACCAATCCCATTTTACGAATTCCCATTTGCCATCAGGAGCTACTTACAGAGGAGAAGAACCTGTTCCTGAGCTGCACAAACCCTACACTCCTCAGGTCACAGCAAGTCAGCTTGGCTCTGGTTTAAAAGAGCTGCAGACAAATGAAGAGCCACAGAGTATGGCAGGGTCCTGTTTCAGCAGCACTGAGTACATTTCTCTACAGATCAGGGGCAAATGTATCATGCTTTCAGGTGTCTGCTTTTGAAAGCACTGTCTTCTGGACTCTAATACTGCTAAAGGCAGAAGCACTTGCCAACAAAGATGACCACATCAATCCACAACCTTACATTTAACAGGCTGCTATAAAAAGGTCAGTTAGAAGTAGGCTTCCTTGCTTGTCACTGATTTCTGCATGACTAAGAGGAAAGAACTACTTCCTGAAAGTTAGATGGGGAAGAAGGCTATGAGTCGTCCTCAGTTCAGAGTACCATTTTAAAATCAGCAGCAAGAGGAAAGAAAGAAAAGGGGGAACAAGGATGTCAGAAAAACTCATTTATGCTGACTTGAACTTGACTGAATCAACCCGGCCCAAACTACAGAAGGTCACCGATGTCCAAGGTAGGTAAATTGGTCTGAATTGAGCTTTCTTTGTATTCTTCAGCCTTTTGTGGAACACCAAAGCCTCAAAGAGGACTAAGAAAATGTGAGAGCCAGTGGTGTGAAAAATGCACAGGTGGGGTGTCCATCCAGGTCTTTTACCCCCCAAAAGGGGATTGTTCTAGGGTCTAATTTTTATTTGTTAAGGTACACATGTGAGGGAGAGTTTCTTATGTGATATTAAGGGTAGTTTCTATCAGTCGGGGAGATTATTCCACAGTTGAATGCCAGCTGGTCCTGAACCAGGTGTGGTCTCAGGCACCAAACTGATTCCTGCAGCAAACTGATTAGGAGATTGAATGCCTAATGTTTCTGTTGTTTGAAGCAGTCTCGTGCACAGCTTGTTCCTGCCTGCTGAGCATGTGAGGCATTGCTCCAGGGTTTCTTTTTTTCTACTGGCTTTGTCTGTATAAACTACATGTTTAATAAATCAAGCATAAAATATTTCATGGGCAGATTCAGCTTGATTTAGTAGGAATGACTTTGCAAAATTCTAACGTAAAACTGATTTTGCTCTAATGAGCTAAGAATTATTGCATGAAATTTTGCATTGGCTTTGCTACATCTGCATAAAGTGACATCCTAAAACAACAGACTTCATACACTTTGTGTTTCATTTTATTTTTTCTTCATTTTTAACTTCACCATCTCTTTCATCTCTTTGACACCAACAGTAGTTTCTATTTGTATTTTTTATCTGCAGATGTTAGAACAGTTTTCTCTTTTCACACCATCTTATCATTAACCCCTTGAAATTTACCATGATCTGCAGTTTCCAGGTTTGCTTTGATGTTGTAGCCAATCTCACCACGTACATACAGATGTGAATAAGACAGTCAACCTTACACATTTTTCTTCACTTCCTTTTAAAATACATGTGCAGGTACCCAGGTCCCCTCTGTTGCTCTTTGCACTGAAGATAAATCAGATCTGTTTCCGCCTATAGCAAGTCCTCTTAGCTGTGAATGTAATGGAGAAATATATTATTCAAGCATATTCAAACACAGTCGTATAAATCAGTTGCTGTGAGGTGTATAGCATTTCTCATAACTTCAGTCATTTTTGTTCCATTTAAGTTGTTGCTTGGTTTTCTCTGTTATTTTTGCCTGGTTTTAGATTCTACATATGCAGAAGTGAAAGTGCAGTCCCTAGACAGAAGTGCTGCAGTTAGCTACACGTCATCTGGTGAGTTTTTAGCTGTCTACTAAGTCTGTATGAACTTAACACTGAGAGGAGAGGATGTTGGTCCTTCTTTTCAAAAAATGCAGTGATATGAAACCTTATGGGAGACAGGAAGAAACAGATGTCTGCTTTACACAGCCAGAGCAGGGGGCTGTGCATGTGTTGTGTTATATGCAATGAAACTCTTATGGGTTCAATGGTATAGGAACACACAGAAATCCTGGGCCATACCAAGAAACCACAGCAGGCATACGTGAACGACTAGAGATGAGTAAGAAGAGTGTGGGTGTAAACAATACCTTCCTGTAATACTTGCTCATGTAGTCATGAACATCCCAAGGCAGGTGTATTTCTGTTTAGGCACCCTCAGTGGGTATCTCTTCTACAAACTTGCCCAATCTCCCCTTGGTTTTATACACAGTCCAGATTCCTACAGTGTCCTTTGATGAGGGGATCCATAGTTCTTTTTAATACTACATGAAGAAACATCTGATTTTTTCACTCTGAACTTGCCTTCTATTAGATTCAGCTGATGTTCCATGAAAGATACAGTAAGCAGCCATATAATATCAAAGGTCCAAATGACACTCAGGATTTTATATAACTCTGACATAGCTTCTTTCTAGTTATCTCTTTTCCGTACTGCAGAACCCTAGCCTGCACCATCATTTACTGCTTCCGTTCTCTGAATCTTTTCCCATACTGGTAGTAGAATTGCATTCACCATTGAAAATAGAGGCAAATCATGATTTTATCAAACCATGTGGTAGACAAAACATCCTGTGTTTTGTTCATTTGCCTTCTGAATGATTCCTAAAGTGGGAGGTTGTAGAATGTTCATCCTAGGATATATTCAAAACCTGACTGTGCACTGTCCTGGACAACCAGCTGTAGTTGACATTGCTTGGACTAGATGATCTGAAAAGATGACTTCCGACCTAAAGGACTCTGTGACTGTATGGTCAGGACAGCTGACCTAAGTTCACAGATCTCCTCTAGAACTTCCATCTATTTTTTCAGTGCACATTAGATCTGTTATCTTCCAGTCCCTGGGTGCAGAGATAGCTTTAAGACTGAGGTTACAAAACGGTTTAGCAACCCAGCTATCTCACACCTAATGTCTCTTCGATTTTTTTGGCTTATCTAATCTTTTATTTGGGCCATACATCTTCCAGTTCATGCATCTTCTCACAAGGAACTGCCCTGAAATGGAAGATCTACCCAGTTCTTACTCAGAAACTCTGCTATAAGGGATTAATTTAGCTTTTCTACTATGACCTCATCTTCTGAATGCTTCCTAGACAGCCTACCACCCACTGGCCTACAAAACAAATTATCTGTCCTCTCCTGGACCTGCTTGTGCCCTATAACACCCAGCCAGTATCCAATGAGTTGAGAGACTAATGAGTATCGCAAGGACCCTCTTGAACTAAATCATAGAATCATAGAATAGTTAGGGTTGGAAAGGACCTTAAGATCATCAAGTTCCAACCCCCCTGACATGGGCAGGGACACCTTGCTCTAAACCATATCACCCAAGGCCTTGTCCAACCTGGAAATTCTAAACAGAAGTCCATAAACAGTAAAAACAAAGAGGAGACAGTTCACTTCTCTGAACAATTTGCTTTTTTGAGGAGTACAACATTGCAGGACCTTTATCTGGTAGTCAGATTGGGCTCTGCTTTCATAGTATTTTGAGAGGGCAGATATGGATCCCAGTGAGCGCTTAACTCCAGTATCAAGTGCAGCAGAATATATCAAAGTATTGCAAGCAATGGCAGAAGGGCTTCAGGTTGAATGTCTGTGGTGGAAAAATATCCGTCCACAGTGTAACTAACACAAGAAGAACAAACGTGTGAAGGGACAGCATCAAAGCGCTTTGTCTAACTTAAGAGTTCTCTCACTGTGAGCCTGGAAATGGCATTTTTGAATGAAGACAAAAGGTTCCTTTTCCAGTTGTTTCCCTAATCTTTATCTTTTTCTGTCTATCTGTAGGTAAAAGCTGTTGCTCCAGAACACGTGTTGCTGTATTGGTTGCTGTGATAATCCTCCTATTGGTCTTAGCAGTGTGTCTGATACTCATGTGTAAGTCCTGCTAAAAATGTAATAACTGAAATTAATTTTTGACCCTCACCCACTGACTGACATCTGAGTAATGCCATCCAAAGCCAGCAGCAACAGAAGGCTAGTCTGGAGGTACAAGGCAGTAGTTTTTAGCCAACCATGGCTGTAAGAGGAAATCTGTAAAGAGTCAAGTGGTTTGGAAGTTTAAAATTCCAAAAGAAAAAACCCAAAACACAATTAAAAAACTTGATGATGTTCAGACAGTTGTCATGGTTTAAGCCCAGCCAGTAACTCAGAATCATGCATCCTCTCTCTCACTCCCCCCCACCTTTCTCCCCACCGGCTCCTGGAAGGATGGGGAGGAGAAATCAAAAGAATGTAACTCCCACGGGTTGAGATAAGAGCAGTCCAGTAACTAAGGTATAACACAAACCACTGCTGCTGCCACTAATGATAATAATGAGAAGGGAAATAATGAGGGAAGAGAATACAACCACTCACCACCCGCTGACTGACACCCAGCCTGACCAAGCAGTGATCTAGCTCCCAGGTAACTGCCCCCAGTTTACATAGTGGTCGTGACGTGCTGTGGTATGGAATACCACTTTGGCTAGTTTGGGTCAGGTGTCCTGTCTCTGCTTCCTCCTGGCTTCCCCTCCTCCCTGGCAGAGCAGGAGACTCAGAAAGTCCTTGGCCAGGCTAAATATTACTGAGCAACAACTAAAAACATTGGTGTTATCAGCACTGTTCCCAGGCTGAAAGTCAAAAACACAGCACTGCACCAGCTACTAAGAAGGAGAAAAATGACTGCTACTGCTGAACCCAGGACAACAGTAAATAATTCACTATTTATTATTCAAATGTTTTGAAGAAACAAGTCAAGATTAGATAATGCCTATTAGTATTATGATTGCTATTTGTGAGAATATTTTAAGGTGATGACTTTGTAACATGTCACCATCACATCCATAACACCAAAAATCTTTAAATAAATATGAATAAAAGCTCACTCATATGAAAGAGGTAGCTAAGTCACAAGTTAAAAGAATTTATTTGCACCTCACTCTAATAAAAGCTTAGTGTTAGGCCTCTCTGCATATATATCACTGAGTTCACAACTATCTTTGAACTACATAAAAAATTAGGGTTGTTTTTTTTTTTTTTTTTAGAAAAGAGCATGCTTGTCTCCATTAGAGAGGAAAAAAACCAAAAAAAACAACAAATTTTAATATAGCCACATGGTACATTCCTTTGAATATTTTTCAAGGAAACGTTTTTAAATTTCAGATGTGGTTGCTTGTTGCTTTTCATCCTTTAATAGTTAAGCAAGCTTAAAGAGGTTTCCACAGTCAATCACATTCAAGTCCCAGAGTTTACCACCTACTCTGGATGCATATGGAGAAACTCTTCTTGAAGACATGACAAAACCTTTGATCCATGGAACTTTAAAAATAGGGCTGGGGGAGGTAACTGTTTTTCAAAGGAAAAAGTAAAGGAGGGATGTCTGATAGTGCTGTGACCTTTATAAAATGTAAAATAGCACAGGAATGTAAAATACCACATTACATTTATAAAATGTAAAAAATCCCAACAATATTGTAAGGTCAAATTACCACCAATTAATAAGGCTTTTAATCAGGAGTTGAATTAGGAGCCACTAGACTCTGATTCAGGTACGGCTTCAGTTATAGATACTTTGTTGGATTCAGTACGACCCCAGTGAACTGAAAAAAAATAATCCTAAGAAACTTGAGATCTAGATAAAACTTGAGAAACTAAAGCAAATTAGTTTTTAATTTCAGTAGCATATAGTTTTCCCTTGTACTCCAAATAAAAACTGTTGCCAGGTTGAGTGGTTTGTTTCCAAGTTTTTCTTTTAGATGAGTTTTCCATATGGTTTTGTTTTGCCAAATATACCGTTATTGATGAACAGCTTGTTCAAATGAACTAAACTGTCACCTCTTGATATTGCTCCATTTTACAAGAGCTCTGCAGGACAGAAGGCATTTTCCATTTCTGTTCACGAAAATGACAACAATCTTACTCAGTGGAACATGAGCAGAAATTTTTATGATTTTTATAGTAGTATCATATTCTTTTATTTTTTCTTGAAAGAAAAGTTATCTGCTGATAAGTAAAAAATTAGCCATGTAGTTCATGAGCTGGTCTTCCAATAACAGATAGGTCTGACTTTTAAATACTCTTTCATATGACTTAAATTTTGCTCTTTTCTGCAACCAGGAGCTGATATCCAGCCTCAAGATATATGCATATAGATGCACATATGCATGAAAAACATACACTTTCAAACCTATTCTTCTTGTTTATTTTCCCTTATTGCTCTAGGAGTTCAGTAAAAAGCAAAGAAAGCCTAAATGTTCACAATTAGTGTATGGCCAAAGCACGATAAAGTTCAGTATTAAGTTGCCCCAATTAGAAAATAACACATTATTGCTTTGTTAGTTTTTGGTGCCTTTGAACCATTTTCAATAATGGTGCTGTCTGATACAGCAGATTTCAGAGTTAAAGTTGACAATATGCCAGGAACAATCTCAATCTAACACTTATGTGTTTTAAACTGATTTCCATTCAGTAGGAGAATCAGTGTGATGGTGTTATTTCTTGCAATGCATAGCAGTATGTATTCATTTTGATTTTTTTCACATAAATTAATGGTTTTGAATTATGTTAGGTAGTTTTAGTACCAATATTTGGTACTATTATACACTAAAGACTTCAGGTCACCTTGACAAGCAGTACTTCAAGCTTCCACCCACAGGGTCAGGCAATATGCAAAACCCAGCTTCTTCATCTTCTAAGATGAAATGGTCCTGACATTTGTTCATATCATGTTTTTCAGAACTTTTACAGAAGAATAAATTCTGATTCCCCCCTCTTCCAAACATGTGATTGTGTCTTCAACTTCTCAGTCCTCAGCTTAAAATTCATTATTACAATCAGTGTTAATACTTTGTAAAATATAATGCGTACCTTATCACGGGTATCTCTGTATACAGGTTTGGATGTAATTCTATATACCAGAGCTTTAAGAACCTTTGTTTTCTCATGTTCAGACATACATCTTTCCTTGGGTTTTTTTGTTTAGTTTTGGTTTTGTTGGGTTTTTTAAATAGTGATATCTAAAACTCAACTACTCCTACGGCAGTATATTTGAAGTTAATCCCTAAAAGGAACAGGGCAAATCATGCAAGTTAGTCTCTGCAAAATTAGACTCTTACTGATCAACTTTGATCTTTGAATTGTAAATGTAAAACCAGTATTATACATTGTCAGCATTTGGTTTTAGGTGCTACAGTGAAGCTTTTTCTCTCACAACTTTGAAAGTCTGGTTTTTGGTTGCTATTGGGAAAGAAATGTAGATTAAGAAATGTAGGTCTTTCTAGGCAATGTGTTTTGGAGACCATAGTAGCTCTCACAGTTCATACTCCAGCATTTTGTGAAAGAGTATTTCAACGACTGTTTTGCACCAGGAAATGCCAGCTTGTTACCATCCCACTTAGAAAGAAAAAAGGAAAGCATGCAGGCTCTGGAAGGTATTATTTAAAATGCAATTTATTACAGTTAATAATATAAAGAAAGAGAGGACAATAGAAAAACCTAGATCTGATCAGATGCTAGGAAACCTGAGCAAAATTACAGAACAAAGGAATCTGGTCCAGTGGCTCTGTTTTCTGGGAAAACAAGTGTAGTCATTTCCCCAAATAATGCTCTTATTTCATACTTCCTTCCTTCCTGTTGCCACCCACTGTCTGTCTCTAGGCTTAAAGAAGGAGCTGATTATTCCTTTGTACTAAAATTGAGATTCATATATATCACTGCTCAGTTTGAAGTCTCTGGTGGTCCTTAGAATCCTCCGTTGGAGGAGGAAAAAGGTGAGGAGTAAACATTCTGTATGGGGTGATGGTGGTGGTCAAAGAGGTTCAGAAGAGCCCTGAGAGTGTATGGCAAGATGGTCAGATATCCAAAGCAGAAATCACATTCTTATTTCCAGATCATCCAACTGCAAGCAGACCAGCTGACTCAAAAACCTTCTCCATCACCTGTGAAGATGCACATGCACTAGGTAGGTAATACTCTGCCATTCAAAAGATAGTTTCCAGAAGTCTGTTCAATTGTCTTTTAAGGGGCTGGAGGGGCTGGGGGAAGGTATGTGTTCAGATTTTGGTCAGAACAAACAAACAAAGAATTTGACATCTCAGGAACAAACAGCTTTATCACGTACACTCATAGGATAAGCTCTCAAGGCCAGAGACTTTTCATATTTTCATATTCTTTAAAAGTAGTGCTTGGTCAGCACTGCATTACTTTTTCAGAGGTAAGAACTGATTACTCTCTCATGCTAGCACGGAGGAGCCCATGGCTAGGTGAACAGACAAAATATAACAATCCCTTTGGTATCCCAGCATTGTCATGAACATGATGTACGTACTGCTTCTCAAGTACCTCTCCATTCTTGGCATTTTAACTAAGTGCAATTCCCTTTTGCTCTTTAGGAGCTGCTGGATAACCAACAAAACTATATCAAGCAGTCCCTGTCTCCCTGAATGTTATCACCCTTTCCAGGCCTCATTCTCTGTTCCTCCTGGTACCCTGCCTGGCAATGGAGAGAAATGTTCTTTCAGTAACATCGCTATTGCCATATTTTGCAGCAGGCAAATAGGACTTGAAAACTTAAAGCTGCTTTTTGACCTGGCCATTTCTCTTTACCTCCTCAGCAAATATTTTAAAGGCTGGATAACGTTATCTGTGATTCCACTTCTCTGACTTATGCCTAGGGCTGGAATTAACTACAGAGAATGGCAAGGATCCCACGTGGTATGGTGAAAATCAAAAGCAGAACCACAAAGGTACTTCTCTGGCTGCAACTTACTCTCTTGCCTTTCTTTTGTGTTGGAATCCTTTTGTTAGCGTGAACACGGATTTTTTCACAGCTGTTCTTCCCTCCTGCAGGCTGCCCCAAACACTGGGAAAAATATGGGGGAAAATGCTACTTCTTTTCTCAAAGGCAGAATAAATCCAATTGGAATGACTCCCGTAAAGAATGTACTGACATGGAGGCTGACCTGGTCATCATTGACAACAAGGATGAACTGGTGAGATCAAAATTCATGGGGTTTGACCTGTATGCCAAAGGGCTAATGGGTTACACTTGCGTATTCTCATGCTAGATGTCTGCTTTCTCATGTTAGATGCCTTTGCAGATCTATAATCCACTGCTAGCTGTATACACCAAGCATCCCTATACGGCAGCAAACACCTTCACAGTAAGATGCATCTTGGTGGTTCAAGTCTTGCACCTGGGAGCTTCTCTCTGCAAGCATGCTCCCATGGGAAGGACTACACTCTCTGCCGAGATGACTTCTGTTTTAAAGACATTTAGCATACAAACCAAGACATACAAGCAGACACTTATTTGTGAGAGGGTTTTTTTTTGATGAAAACTGAAAAGGCTTTCCTATCACAATCAGAATAGAAAAGTATCTCCAGGTATCAGGTCATACATGGCTAACTATAGCATATAGTTTTAATGCTATCACAGGTGTATTATTCTTTTTATTCTATTCCTAAGAAGCCCCAGGAAGAGAAATGAGATTAAATAAACTGGAAAAATTTGGCATTTGAAGCGGTGCAGAGAGATGTGTGGCTGGATGCATGGTGTACTTGCAACGTTGGTCATTTAGCACTAAGCTTTCTCTGTACCTCTGGTGAAGACAACATTATTTTAATGTATTATTATTCTCTGTTTCCTTTCTAGAATTTTCTTTACAAACGATCTAGAAGTAGTTACTACTTACTTGGACTCACATACTCTCACAGTGAGAAGAAGTGGAAGTGGATTAACAACATGGAACTTAGTTCAGACATGTAAGCCTTTTTCAGCAAGTCACTGTGATGCAATGTCTGCAAAAAGTGAAACATAAAAACACACAAACAAACCAAACCAACACAAAAAACTCCAAACAAACCCCAGACCAAACAACAGGGAGTACAAGCGAGGTCAGGGACCGTAATCTGCAGCAACCTGAGTCCTTTTGATTCAGGTGCTTCAGCACATCCCTGTGACAAGTCAAAGGGAGCCTGTAAGTCGTGGGAACACAGGCATGTCACATCAGGATGGCAAGAGAGAACACAGCTGTAGTTCTGGTGAGTAAGGAGGAATCTGATTAGACTGAATTCAGTGAAGAAAAGAAGGGGCAAGGAAGTGTACTGCCAGCACCACTGAATGGAGACTACCAAAGAAGGGGAAGGTCTCTAGATGGGAAACCATAGCCCATATACTTTTGTTCACGTCTGGGGAAGAAAATTAAGGAATGGGAGTGAGAGTCCAGCAAGGGAGCCTCTAATCCCACTGACAATAATATAGCTTAGCAGCAAGGCCAGGTGCCACTCTGCCTTTCATGGAAGTGATATGACTGTATTACGTTCAGCTAGGTCAGGAATGCAACTAAATCTGGCTTTCTCTCCCTGTTCAGGTTTTGTATAGGAGGAGATTTTACTGACTATTTCTGCACTGTCATTGGACATGGCAAAGTAGAAACTGCACCTTGCAGTGGATCCTTATCAACACAAAATATGTGCGAAAAAGCTGCAGATATTTCAGAAATCCAGGAGAGCTAAAAAGGAAGAGATCCAAGCAGCAATGTGATCCCCAGCTTTCTGTAGGAACGGCAGATGGTATTTGTGTCATTTATCTCTAGCTGTCTAAATATCTAGTCAAAGGGACTCTTACAGGATCCCTCTAGACACCCTGCCAAGCATAGCACATTCTTTCCCAAGATATGTGGCTTAAGACTGGATGGGTTCCCCTCTAGAAGGGCATTTTCACACATTAGGAGCCTGGGTGACTTCCTTATACCAGATGCCCAAGTTTCAGGCAGCCACTGTTATATGAGTCCAGCCTTAGGGATAGGTGTGATCACAGACAGATCCTGTCTCTTATAGACACATGCATATGCACCCATACATTTAGAGCCCCGCTTATGCACAAGGAGACACTTCAAAGCCTTGCCATGCACTAGTCTTCCCTGCAGCCACAAGTGAAGGTTAGCACATATATGTATTTTTGATCCTGTAGAAAAGTGCAACCACACTCACTGCCATGTGTCATAGATATGATTGACAGGACAAAGTCAAATGTGTGTGTGTATAAACCTTACTCTGTAAAAAACTGTCTGTTAAAAACCACACTGGATACCAAACCTAAAATGCCAAGGCTAAAATGCGATTCACCAGGCTTTTGTGACTCCGAGGATTATCACTCTTACTGTCTCCATTGAGGCAGAATCATTCGTGCTTCAAATGGCACCACTCATGGCTCTCTCCATTTGCAGGATGGAGCAAGATCTGAGAATTCCTTGATGAAGTGACAGTGATGTCATACTTTCTCATTGGGGGGAAAAAAAAGTTTTTTCCTTAATCAAACAATTTATAATTGGAACATTGCAGCCAAGGGTAGTGAAAATGGAATCATACAGGAAAAATTCTCTCATTCTGATTTGAAAGCACATTTTGATGTCTCTCAGACAAGCAATACTCCTCACTGTCCCCATTCACCAATGGCCATGTTGATAGGTAAATTAACAGATGGCTAATATTGCCATTCTTCCAGCATATGAATGGAAAACACCTTGACATGCTACTTCCTCACAGCTTTCTTAGATGAACAGAATATCATTGTGGGGGAGTGAGGGAAAAAACTCATTAGAATAAGCTTGTTAGTTGGAAATAATCTTGTCCATGGCAAATAACCAGAGGAAATGAGAAGCATCTCATAGAAACTGGCTACTCAGAAATAATTTACCATGGTTTTGTGTAACCCAGAGAAGACTGTGGGCCTTTTGAAAAGCAGGTATCTGTATTAAAATTATGGCAAAGTTAAAGGTCTCAGGAGGATTTAACATCCATAACTAGTAGAGCAATTATCATTACATTTCAATGACATTATCAAAAACAGACAGCAGACAATAAGGATGAAGATTCTTTCTTCTTCTCCCTTTTCAATTTGAAAGTCTGAAAGCAACAATTTCAGCTGTGCTGTAATTCCAGATACACTGAAAGATCTGTCAATGATCCACCCTGTTAGATTGCAAAAGTATACTCAATTTCCATATTGGACAGGAGTCTGGGATTGGAGATAATGCCAGACCTCAAAAATAGCCACAGGGCCAGGTGACCTATAGACAAGCATACTCCTACAGGTTAGTAAGAATATGAACAGCATCACTATTAAAGAGTTTACCAAGTTCCTTGGAAATGGATCTGACTTTGGTAGATGAAACTCCACTGATTTTTGCAATGAAATGTAGAGATTGCGTATTTCTATTGTTATCTATCACAGACAATGAAGATCTGTATAATTAAGCTCAGTGATATGAGAAGTGCAGTGCACGACTGTTTGTCTAACAGTTTCTTCTTGTCTCAGTGTATTTTAGATAAAGCTTTTAAGAAATTTATCCCAAAATAAAAAACACATACAAAACCACTTTGTATGAGGATGTAAGTTGAGATCTTCTTGATGGAGAGCATCAGAAATGAGAAAGTGTAGATAAAGCTTCAAGAGCAGCAACTGAAGCTGTATTCAAGGCTATTTTAAAAATTTGCTCTAAAACTGCCCTCAGATGTATCCATCACCAGTCACCTATTTTCAGTGGCAGAGCAGAGATTTTTTTTATAAGCCAGATAGTTTTACCATACAGACATCACACTCAGGATTCTCACTGAATTTCATCTTGAGAGAGATATCTCTTACAGCATTTTGTTACTTCAGCTAGATGCATAATAGCTCAGGATTCCTGCTTGAAATTTACAATTTGCTTTTGACCATAAAAATACTAGAATGTAAGACCGGTGTACCACTTTTCTATTAGATCATTTGATTCATACTGTATCTTTCATTGTATCTTAGTGCATTAGGTTTATTTCTTTTTATTTATACCAAAAATGCTATAATGTATCTTGAAATCCGTATTCTCCTTTCCTTCTGTTGCACTGCAAAGTTCAAGTTGTGCAACTGAGAGGTAAATATCATGGCTGAGTGACAAAGGATACTTTTCCGTAAGTTACGTTAACAAAAAAGAAATCAGCATCAATAAATGCATATGGAAAGGACAATGAGTGGGAATCTGAAGTATTTAAAAAACATTTTTTAAAGGAGTTGGCAAATACAGTGTCTGTCTTTTATCCACTGAACTTGCTCATGTAGCAGTGTATTCCAGTACTGCCCTCTGAAAATACTGAAGTGAGACAATGTCACTGAAAAAAATACCAGCTTCAATAGCAGACAGCTCCTGCAAGATATCCCAGTGAAATTCCAGAGCAGCAAGAAAGAGGAAACAATAAGAGAAGCAAAATTGAGAAAACTCATGACTTGAGATGAAGCCAATTTTATAGGTGAAGACAACTGAAAAAAGGAAATGATGCAAGAGCAGCCACTCACCACCTCCCACAAGCAAACTTATGCCCTGTCAGTCTCTGAGCAACAGCCACCTTGGAAGCCAACAATCCTCCCCCATCTCCTTCTTTTGTTGCTGAGTAAGATGCTATATAGAAGAAAAAAGCCTTTGATTAATTTGGGTCAGCTCTGCTGGCTATGTGTCCTCCCACCTTCTTGCCCACTCATGGTACATGGAGACAGGGCATAGAGTAAGAAAAAGGGAAAGCCTTGATGCCGTACAAGCAATGTTCAGCAACAGACAAATATTAGAGTGTTATCAACATTGGTTTAGCCACAAATCCAAACCTCTGCATCATACAGGTTGCTATGAAGAAAGTTAACTCCATCCCAGCCATGCCCTGTACAATCTCCGCCCCTTATTCTCTATCATTTGCATCATGCTCATAACCCCTCATCAACACCCATGCTATTCTTTGACGTATACATTGATGTCATTCCCTTAAGTCTACAGGGGACTATCAAAGGTTGATTCTGATATGCATCCAAATATCCATTAAAGTTTGTTCAGATATTTCAGTCTGTGACGTCATCTGTTACAGTGGTCACTCAGGACAAGAGGGGTGGCACATCATCACAGACTGTTGGGTGCTAACACCAGTCTTGGCAGGGTTATCGCTGTACTTGCCCCGGTTCTTGTGAGGCTCTTACCCTCCACTGGTTCAGGTGGTTCCTGCTATAGTACCTGATATAACATACAACTCAAATCCTGACTTATTTTCTCCCTAAGTTAATTCCCCTTCAGGTGCATGCCTGTTTTCCCCATCCTCCCACATCACCCTCTAAGTGCATCCACATCCTTGAGTGAAAGCAATCCCTCAAATGGATCTAACTGTTCCCAAGGGAGGAGCAATCCTTGCTGTCTTTCCCAGGCAGTTCCCTTACCTCTACTACGGTAACCTTACTTCCTGCTACAGTGTGTGGAGCATTTGCCTGGGAAGGAACAAGTCAGTCAGCAGAACCACTGGTGTTAACCAGCAAAGTGGCTTCTGCTAAGTTTACATCCCAGTGTTTCCATGTCTCATGATTCAGAGAAAACTCCAGGAACAAACTTCCCAACAAAGTTTTCAAGCTGACAAGCAGGTATTCTTTATTGTGGTGCCGGGAGACACGCGGGATAGCTCCTCCTAACGTGTGTCCCCGTATTGCTATGCAAGCCATCCTTATATAGTCCCTGTGCAGACATACATATTCATGAGGCTACGTATGGATTACATCATTTTCCAGAGAGTCCCCCGCCTGCGTACAGAATTGTGGTGGTGGTCTCTGAGGGTCGTTTACTTCTTCCAACAATCTTCATCACTTCTGGCAGCCTTTGGAGCACGCGCAGTAGATGCTCATACCAGTTTAACTTGTTCGTTAGCACCAGAGACATAATAATCCTCCTATCCTCCTAATTATCAGTTAGTTTAACTGTAGCCCATCCTGGACATGCAGATACTCCTTATCCCTGTGTCCTGTTCTTCTAGCCTGTTTTTCTTAAAACTATGTCAACTACAATGGTTTATCTTGTGAGAATTCTCAGTATGTTCTCTAGCTGTACTCTGGTTTTTTTTCTATGTATCATGCACCTCAGTAATTTTCCATTGGTACTGTTACAAAGGCATCAAACTTAATATTACTTAAAACTGATTCTAAAGGTTTTTATATATTCCATTTTGTGATTTTGTGCCCCCTTGTCTCACTCAGCACTTACCACTCTCAGGTTAGTCTTTAGGAAGTTCATTGTATTGCTCAACCTTTCCAGAGCCAGTAGGTGACAGGGGATGTGATACATGCAATGAATCATAGAATCATAGAACAGTTAGGGTTGGAAAGGACCTTAAGATCATCAAGTTCCAAGCCCCCTGCCATGGGCAGGGACACCTCTCTCTAAACCATCTCACCCAAGGCCTCGTCCAACCTGGCCTTGAACACTGCCAGGGATGGAGCATTCACAACCTCCTTGGGCAACCTATTCCAGTGCCTCACCACCCTAACAGGAAAGAATTTCCTCCTTATATCCAATCTAAACTTCCCCAGTTTAAGTTTTAACCCATTACCCCTTGTCCTATCACTACAGTCCCTAATGAAGAGTCCATCCCCAGCATCCCTATAGCCCCCCTCCAGATACTTGAAGGCTGCTATGAGGTCTCCACGCAGCCTTCTCTTCTCCAGGCTGAACAGCCCCAACTTTCTCAGCCTATCTTCATACGGGAGGTGCTTCAGTCCCCAGATCATTCTCGTGGCCCTCCTCTGGACTTGTTCCAACAGTTCCATGTCCTTTTTATGCTGAGGACACCAGAACTGTACACAATACTCCAAATGAGGTCTCATGAGAGCAGAATAAAGGGCCATGTTCCTTGGCCCTGGTTGACTATGGAATTGTTTTGAAAATAGGTCCTGTTGCCTGACTCAATACTGAGGTACCACGTTCCTAAACAACTTGCTTTTCAAGGCCCAGGATACTGTTCTGGACAGAGGCATGGGCTACAGGGTACGTTGCCAGCAATCTGAAAGTCATCTCCACCGTGGCAAGTACGTAGCACTTGTCTTGGCAGGTTCATGGCAGCAATTCCAGTTCAGAACATGCATGTTAGTGCAAACGGGCTGCCTCAGTAGCCTGCTGTTACCAAAGAAGTAAACCACAACAGAATTTCATAGCAAGCACCTGAATCTTTCTAGTTCCTCATTGCCTGTCCCGTTCTTATCATTTATGAATTTGAAGGTCCCTGGAAAGTGTGTGCCTTTGGAACTGAACACAAG